TGCAGTGAATGTTGGAGTTCAACAACTCAGTTAACTTTGGCCCTAGTTTCTCTTAAGGGGTAAAAACCAACAGATTGTCACGATTGTGCTCTCCTGAGGTGGAGGGATCCAGCGTGGGGTTGCTCAGCAGCACAATCATCCCCACTCCATTTATTTTCCTGTATATCCCTTCTTTTTAGTCTCAAATTCTACTTTACTACTGTCATCCCCTCCCAGGCAACAGCACACATGTGCTTATCTTCTCCCTATTAACCCCAGTTTTAGATTTTGTATTCTATTTGATATTTATGATAATAGATGGCCTGAAAATACCAGTTCTGCCAAGCTAATATCTCCTTCTCGTCTAGGCAAGTGTGGGCAGTATCCAGTAGTTCACCTTTCTATAGCACTAGTGACAATAGATAGTGTCACCATGCACCCTGACACAGCCCAGAAAAGCAGGTGATTGAAGTCACCAGAGGCATCAACAGCCAGGCTTGCCAGCCTCCCTGGAGAGCTGGTTGCCTACAGCATGCGAGGGGTAGCAGGACCATCTGCAGCTCAGGGCTTCACTCTGTGACACCATAGCACTTCCCAAGCTGCACCAGCCACCCTGCAGCGGGGAGACAGTGTGGGATAACAAAAGGACAGTGCTGGAATACCCCAGGTCAGAGGAAAAATAAGACTTTTCAGCTTTTGTGCAATGTGATGAGTCACCACGTTAATTTCTGTTGTTCAAAAAAAGTATGGTGAAGATACTTTTGAGGTTTACTGTGTGGACCATTAGGAGCATGCCAAGGGACCAAGAGTACCAAAGACAAGTCAGCAGCATGATGCAGATAGTTACCAACAACAAGAGGAAAGTATCTGTGGAAAGCAAAACATTTATAGACAGAAGGTTACAGGACAAGGGATCATGTAACCATGTCCAGTGTTTTCCCTGTAACATGCATGTGGGGAAAGGCAGAGGAAAAAAAGCATTAGAAAATAATGGGTTTTTCCTTTATTAGACACTAGGAAACCACTGGGAGCACACTAATTTATGTCTCCTTTACCTAAATCAAAACTGAAGAAAGGTCTTAGGTATGCAACCAGGGGAAGAAAATTTACACAAGACATTTTAAAGTAAAGCTTGAGGAAACCAGCATCCACTGTGGCAATTGCACATATTAAATAAATATATTTTCCTCCTTGCAATATTAGTTTTGCTGCACCATTAGTCTGGAAGTATTACCCCCCAAATCCAGGGTTCTTTGCTTCTCCAGACCCTAAAGGTACCATTCCATAAATACAGCCTCTAAACCTATTCCTTCATCTATGGTTTGGATGAATTAACTCAGTTTGCTAAATGAGTCATACTACTTTGTGTTTTCCTTTCCAATAACTACATGTCAATCACAAATCTTGTTTCCAAATCACTTAGAAAACTGTTCAAGAGAAATAATCCTCACAGAGTCTCTCAGAAACACTCTCTTCATTCCTCATCTCAATCTCTACTTAAAACCTGTCAGATATGATCTGGCTTGATGATCCTGTGTAGGTACTCTTAGAATCAAACACTTTGTTGGTTTTGCTATGCCTAATTAGCACAAGCCCGCTCTGATTGTTCATTAGTATGAGCTTTGCTTCTTATAAGAGCATCTTGTACCTGCCTTTTTTATGACTCTGATTTGGATCAGCTGTCAGAGGGATGATTTTTCCCAGCCACTCACATTGTCCATTTTAAAAACTGGCATTTTCTTCCTTCTAGTGCAGGACCTTATTCACCAGCCTGAAATTTCATCAAATCTGCCAATAGTAGAGGTCTCAGGCCAGTTTTTTGGCACTCAGCACTGGGAAACTGTACCATTTCAAAGCACAGAGCATACATGTTAGCAGATACAATTTGACTGGAAACAGTTGGCCCATGACTGATGTCACAGGAGAGAGAGAGTCAGAGGAGAGTCAGGCAGGTGTAGCTCCCCAAAGCTTCCATATTTCCCTTTTTAAAAATGGGGGATATTTTCCAGTCAGTGAAAACTTCACCAGACTACCACAACTTCTCAGACTGATGAATTGTGTTTAGTCATTTCCTCTCTCAGTTCCATACAGGCCTCCTGGCATTGCTGCCTGACTTTGTCTTTGTTGGGATGCATTGCTGCTGAGTTCAAAGAGCGCATCCTTTAATATCAACCAGTTTGATGTAGGATACCGGGTTATAACTGTTAAAGTTTTTAAGGCTTATGCTCACGAGAAGGCCCTGTGGGAAAGGCCCAGCTGCAGCAAATGGGCTGAGGGGTGAGAGGCCCTTATGAGTGGGGAGAGAGTCAGCTGAGTGACAGCTGGGAGCGAGGTTGTGATTGGCTGGAGGAACACATGGACAGCGTATGAGCAGGAAGCTGATTGGGTGACAGGACGGGTGGACAGCAGCACTGCAGCTGAGCCAGCCAATGGGTGCCCTCGTTCTGTTAGGTTTTGTTAGGCTTTGGTTTGGTTTCAGTTGTGGAGGTGGAGATTGAAGGTATACAAAAGGGGCAGTTTCTGTAATAAAGGGATCTCCTTCAGATGCACGAGGGGGTCTGTGTCGCTTTGTTCCCCATTGCTACAGCTTTCTTGGGCTCTTCTTCCCTCTAGAGCATTATCCCATAGGACTCTATCAAGTAGATCTCATGTGAGTCCAAAGTCTACTCTCCTGAAGTTGAGCACAGTGGGCTTGCTTCTCACCCTTGTCATTATCCCAGGGATCTCAATACCCAGCATTTCCATTTCATGGTCAGTGCAGCCCAGGCTGCCCTTGAGCTTCACATTCCCCTCTGGCCTGTCCTTGTTGGCGAGAATATGGTGACATTGCACCTCTCCTCATTGTCTCCTCTACCACTTGGAGAAGGAAGTTGACATCAGTGTATGCCAAAAACCTCCTGGATTGCCTGTGCCCTGCTGGGTTCTCCCTCCAGCAGACGTCAAGGTGGTTGAATTCCCCCATGAAAACTAGAGCTTGTAAATATGAGGCCATTCCTGTTTGTTGTGATGACCCTCATTGACTCATCTTCCTGCTCAGGTGGCCTGCAGCAGACCCCCTCTGTGATGTCACCTGTCCCTGCCCTCCATTTAATCCTGACTCCCAAACTCTCAGTCAGTTCCTCATTCATCTCCAGGTGGAGCACCATGCACTAATAAAGCCTCTTGTTTGGCGTTATTATAAAGCAGAGCACTAGGGCTCAGGAACTCAGTCCCTGGGTAGGGACCGGGTGCCCGAGGTAGCTCGCTCATGCCAAGGCTGCAGGGCTACCATCTAGCAAGCATGGTGATTATCAGCTCTATAGTGATTGCAAGTTCTTAGGATTTCAGCTCTGCTTGCTAGGTAGTGGTGCCCTGGGCTGGAGGCTGCAGCAGACGGAGAGAGAGGAGAAGGAGAAGGCGCAGGCTGTTCCACGGAGATGGCTTTATTTGGGGAGGTCCGTGAAGGGTCTCTGCTCTTCTTCTTTCTCCCCTAATGGGGTACAGTGTGCTTCTTTTATAGGGTTGGAAAGGATCCAAGCTTGACCAATGGGTAAGGGGTTAACATGACATTGCCTTATAGGGTTACAGAGATAGGTTAAGGGGTGGAGGACAGGAAAACAGGAATTTTCTTTTGCTGTTTCAGCATTCCTATTGTTCATATCCTCCATGGTGCTTCTGCTGGTCATTGGCATAAAGAGCAACACTGCCTCTGTTCGCCCCTGCCTATATCCTTCCATTCCAACCCTCCAGTCACAAGAGTCATCCCAACACATTTCCTTGTTGCTAATAAGATCACAGCCCTGCAGGCTGAAATGGTTCTCACTTAAGATACCTTTGTTTTTTTCACTGTGTGAAGGGCGGAGCCTTGAGGAGAAGGGGGATTGGCCCAGGACCCATCCTTTGGGGATTTTCTGAGTGCAGAAAATGGGAGAGTTCCCAGCTCCGAGAGGCCCCAGCACAGGGAGGTTGCTGCAACCCAGGAGAGCCCCAAGGGTCTCACTCAGGGCCATTGTTTACAGGGCCACAAGAGATGTGTTTTAGTCACAACAATGTTTCATCCTGGCCCCACTTCAGGTCAGAAACTTTCTTTGAAAGTGGGAGAATATTATGCCATTAAAAAACAAACCAACCAAAAAACAAAACAAAAACAAAAAACAACAACAAAAAACCCAAACAAACAAACAAAAAACCCCCAAAAAACAAAAAAAAAACCCAAAAAACCAAAACAAAAAACACCAAAAAAACCCCAAACAAACAAACAAACAACAAAAAAAAAAACCAAACAAAAAAGCCCCAAAAAAACCCACCAAAAACCAAAAACCAACCAACCAAACAAACAAAAAAAAACCACACCAAAAAATCCCAGGAACTCATTATACAGGACCAGTTCCTGAAGCAGTTTTTCTGATAAGCTCCAGAGGAACTGAACCCGAGGGTTGTTCAAGGCCAAGGCCTAGTAAGCATTTTTCAGATCATGGTGCAGCCTGGGGGGCAGGGATACACCACCATTTATTGGCATCCAACTGGTAAGAGTGGGATAGACTGGAGTTTCCATTCCCCAAAGGCTTTATCTGCATTCAGTGAGGTACAGCTAGATGTTCATCCTTGGCATTACTTCTTTCTGTCATAAGGGAAGTATCTCCACTATACATTTTTCCTCATCTTGTCCCATAAACATTTCAAATAAACATTTGTTACTAGTTTGAATGAGTTTCCCTAACCTTTACACGTAGAATTTTTATTTTAAATCTTATCAAATAAAAAGTGGTCAGAATCTTCAAGATTTGAGGTTCCCTTTTGTCAAAATAACCACATTAAGTTATTTGAGTTTTAAAAAAATTAGCTCAGAAGAGGCACTGAGTTTGAGGAGAATGACTCTTCAAAAGTCAAATGTCAACTCAATGATGGCAAACTTCTTACAATGTTCACAGAAAAGCTTACCCTTTTCTGTTGCCTAATGAAACCTGCAATACAGCAACTTACTGATTGTCTTGCATGGTTCACCCAAAAAGGTGGATTCAAAAAGACTGACAGTAGCCAAGTTTAATTCTTATGTGTAATTTTTTATCACTCTCAAAACACAAAGAACAATTCATAAACATATATTTCTAAAACATGCTAGGAAAGCATGTTATCACATGCTTAATCCAGAAAATATGTGGGGCCCAAGGATGAAAAAGAGTACATACAACACCACTAAAATGTATTTATGCATATGGTATTTTAAAAAATATTGTGATGAAATATAAGGTGCCAGCACTACAATATTAAAACTGCCAAAGCTCATAATTTCGAATAGAACAACCAAGGATTAGCTTTGCATTACAAACAGCTAAATCTGTCCTTAGTTACAAAAAATGCACAAGCTTCTGTTAACACAGTCCATCTTGTGAGATTCAGCTTCAGGTTTTACACAACACAGTTGATCCTCGAGGTAGATTCCATCCCATACTGAAGGTGAACATGTTGTCTATGGGGTATACCAAATTCAGCAGCTCACACAGCATCCATCAATCAACACAACTAATTTGAGAGCTCTTTGTTTATGCATTGAAAAAAAGGCACTTTGCCATACAGGGTTCGGTTTCTTACTGGAAAGATCACCAAAGGGAAGAAAGGAGAAACACTGATACAAATTAATCTCATCAAACCCTTTTTAACAGATACTTCCCACAGCACGTGCAGGGAATGGATTCCCATGTGAATCTCTAGTCAGACTGTACTGTCTGTGAGACAAAGAAAACTTCAGTGCCAGGTGTTCTTATCTTCCTTATGTCCAGTCAAAATATACTGGCTGAGCTGCGCAGACTCCTTGCAGTGACAGAAACGAAGGGCCCATAGGCAAACCAAGTAAGAGCAAAGATCTCATGACAAGGGGAGGGAGAAAAACCCCAAAACCCCAGACTGCCTTAAGACAGTATCTGTAGGCCGGCACTGTATCTGTTCTCTCCACCACCTCTACCACTCATGCTCCCACCAAACTGGTACTGCTACCAAAGCTGACATATTCTGACTATCCCCTCCCCCAGTCATTCAAGTTTTCTAACTTCACTAAGAAAACATTGCATGGAAAAAAACCAATGGAGGGGACAGCAAAGTGCATCATGATTGTATCATAAACTTTGGAACACAGAAAAATCTTTTGAATTAATGCACACACACAAAAAAAAGATGCACACACAAAGAAACCAAGGAAAATAGGTGAAAAATACTAAATTTCAGAAAAAAATTGTTCTTAACTATACATAAAACTTATCTGTGAAGGCACATAGCCACACTGAGGCATCACTTTCCTCTAGAGATCTAAGTGTCCTCCTAACTGAGAATGTCTTGCAGTACAAGGCATTTGAGAGGCAAAACCCAGCTGATGTTGCAGGATACCTACCTCAAACAGAACAAATTTGCAACAGGTCTGTGATGCAAACACAACAGTGACTTGAGATGAATTACACCGAGAAGCAACCTCTTGCCAGAATTCACTGGCCTAGGAGTAACACACTGATTTAATTTTCTCATTAGAAAATTCATTTCTGAATAAATTACATTTTAGCATAAATTTCTGTGTGTCAGCAGAAGCACAGTGTGTGTTGGATCAGCCTGCCTTTCTCCATGTTAAAAACTAGTTTTATTTTTGGCTTCTTAGATTTTGTGGTCTGAAAAGGTAGTTCTCCAGTCAAACTGCAAGTGTCAGAAAACAGAAGTGCTGCGTAATTTGCTTAAGACTGTGCAGAAAAATGCATTTTAATCCATATCTAGTCCATGGATAGCAATGTTTTCTCAGTGCTGAGTCCATTTAATGCTTTTGAGGTCAATTCCATCCTGCACCATTTCCCAGAGAGGGCTGTAAAGAAAAGGAGAAAACTGAGGGCTAGCTAAAATGCACAGGACATCATCAACAATAATTAAACAGATTTTTTCAATGACACAAGGAATTAGGAGATATCTATCTGCCTGCCTTGCCCTTCTGGAGGTCAGTGAGCTTCAGGTGATCAGCCCTCAACTGTGTTCTCAACCAAAAATACAAGAGATGAGAGGGCAGATGCTCCACCTCATTTCCTGCTCCTACTTTCAGCATAAAGCACTGGTGTCTCTGAGACTGAGCCCTAGCATTTTTACTGTCCAGATTAGTCACCAGTCTTTCAGTTTCATCAGAATAAAACAATTTATCAATACATTAACTCAGTAATACCATCTCTGGCTTAAAATCTCCTAGGTACTGCCTTATGTGCCTGCCCTACTCATATTCTTTCTCTGAATAGAAAAGGTTTGGTGTCAGGTTTGTTTCCTTAGAAATTTGTCACTAATGTTAAAATCAAGCTCCTACCCACCCGGGGGACAATGTTGCTGATATAGAGAAATACCAGCAAATTCCTGAAGCAAACAATTACTTGCAAGTAAATAAATCCAATTCTTCCCATGATTATCACACCTAAGAAGTCTTTGTCTTCAATGAGACAGTATCTCACCTCATTTCCCTCAGCCTCTTCACATGCTGTATGCACTTCTGCACTGTATAATCCACTTCTTCTTCTGTAGTGAAACGACCGATGCCAAACCTAAACCAAAAGAAAATCATTAAGGAACTGAATAACAAGTACATGAAGAGGGTGGAACATATCTACCAATTATTTTTATCAGGAAAGAAAAATATTTGGAAGCATAAGGGGAGACCACACCACACACCTTATAGATGAGTGAGCCAAGTCTTCATCTGTTCCGATTGCCCGCAAAACATAGGAAGGCTCCAGAGAAGCTGATGTGCAAGCACTGGGAAAGGGTAGGTAGGGAAATGTCAGACTTTTGCTTAATCTCCTCTAACAAAGAACAGGTCACTTACCTCTTTACAACACTGTCTATCAACTTCCCCAGCCTCCTAGAAACCACAAGTGAATACAAGCAAGTAAAGTGATATTTCTGCTACTGAAGAAAAAAAGAATACAAGAAGCAGGCATTATTGAGAAATTAGACTAATAAATTAGGAGTATAAGGAAAGGAGAGAGAATACAGGCAATACACAAGAATAAACACAATGACACATAGAGGCAGCAGGAATGCAGATTAAGAAGTAGCTGAAGTAGAGGCTGTGAAAAAAGACAGAAACTATCCAGAGAAGGTAACACACCAGGAACATAAAAGGAAAAAAAAAAGACTTCACAAGCTGCTGTTTGGCAGCAGAACAAATAAATGAAAAACAGTGCACAGAGGGATCCAGAGCAAGATGACTGCAGTTGTCAATAGAGAGAGCTTCCACTTTGCAGCAGTATACAGAACTGGTTACATGACTCAGTTGGCCGTGACTCAGTTTTTACAGGTAGCAACATGCAGTGCCAATTGGAGAGCTGTAAAAAGCTCCCCAGTGCACTAAGTAGAGACTCAAAAGAGATCTTCACATTACAGAAGTGTTTGGCTTCAGGGACAGTCATGTGGAGACTTGCTCTTTCTCCTCATAGTGCCAACTAGTTTCTAATTAGGATATGTTGACCGCTTTGTTCTCAAAGGTGAGAGAAGGAGAGGAGGGGCATCTTTACTCTCCATCATTTCATCCTGAACATCAGGTTTGTCTGGGTAACTGAAATATTCCTCATCACTCCTGTAGTCAGGAGAGCTCCATAAAAGCACATGCAATTTTCTTTCTCACTTTTGCATTTAACACAGGAACTATTAGCTGATTTAATTCAGATATGTACCCAGCTTCACTAATTGCAGTAAAAATCTGCCGAAGAACAGAAGCTGTTCAAATCTTGGTGGCCTTTAGAATAAAAGTGTCACCAGTAGAAGTTAAGGCTACTCAAATAACCAGTTTGCAAGACTAGTCGGTAGGAAATTCTAGGTTAATTTTGTGGTTTTGTGGGGGTCTTTCTGTTAGGATATTTTTTTGGTTGGTTTTTGTTTAGTTTTGTTGCTGTTTGTTTTTTTCTTCCAGGATAAATAAATTTGACCTTCAGTTGAAATTTGTCCCTAAACACCACTGTAGAATGTAATCAATGCCAGGCTGCTCATTAACTGAGTATGTGAATACAGGGCACAGAGGAAACTACTACTTAGCTTTTACCTTCATTAGCAGATGCTATTTTCTCTCCAAAAAATACACTGTTATCCTTCCCATACATTCCACATACCTTCCTGAAGACAGAGCCACATCTTTCAGAGCCATCAGAAGACTCTCCCCTTCCACATATGCAAAAGATAAATTGATGCATCCTACATACACATAAATAAAATAGAAAAAAGAATCCATCAACTGAAATCTCAGGCAAATTGTCCCCTGCAAGGCAGGATTTGCATCATGTGCTCAAGTGCATTATTCAGCCATAGCCATAAACATCAAGAAGCCAGACAGTACTAACGGGCTCAGAATTTTGCTTGAGTTACCTGGATAGCGATGCTTTTGATCTCCATTCATCACCACATCAGGAACTTCACTCATTATTTTTGTAACCAATCGTTCTGCCAATTGTGAGATTCGCTTATGGTCATACTAACAGAGAAACCAGAAAAGACACAAATAATAAACAGTGTACCCTCAGACCTCACTCAAACTGCTTCATGTCACCAGCTGCAAGCAGAATTAAGTAACTGGGTTTGGCCAGACAACGGAATGAACATAGCTGAAACTTAAACTGTTAAACTTTGCCTCCTCTAGACACTGTTTTAAAAGAGAATAACCCCTTGGCTTGTAGTTAGCTCAGTTTTCACAAATGTTTCAAACCATTCAGAAAGATCTACCTACACAAGCTGCCAAACCGACTTTCATAACAGCATTGAGTTCTTTGGGTTTAAAGACAAGTTAGGCAGGGCAGAAGATGATGCATTTTGCACACAAGAAAGGGCTCCTATTATGACAAGTGCCTCTTATTTCCCAGGAGCTCTCTAACTGTACCACAGAAAGACATGGACTTGCAAATGACTATGAATTCAGCTTTTACAGTGAGTAACCTGCATGGTGAGAACTGCCCATGTGCAGTGTCTTCCTCAAGACTGAAAACTGAGGTCACTTATACCAAGAAAGCAGTAAGGTGTAGGATCAGCTTTGGCACACAGGACTGGTCACATGCACACATGCAATTCATGCTTGTTTACACTTGAAAAAGTTAAAAGAAAACCAGGCTAGCTCCAACACCAGTTGGTTTTAAAATGCCGTAACTCTGCCAGGCAAGGAGGAGAATCCAGATTGGAGGTTTGTGCAGAATTCAGACTCTGCAGGATCCCTAGCCTCAACTTCCATAATCACACAGCTCAGATGGTGGAATTCTGCCTATCTCCTGGAAAGAAGCCTGATCCTTGGGTGCAGGTATCTGGCCTATGCATCCCATTGTCACTGTAAGTATTTTTACATTCCAGCTGTAAGGAAGGCATTGGTGCCCACAAACCAATGTAGCAGCATACAGAGGCTCAGACACCAGACCTAGCAAGTAAACTTTACTGTCCAAGCTAGAAAAAAAAAAAGAAAATAAATTCTTAGTTGCAAAGATGCAGTAAACTTGAAATTATACTTAATAGGTGCAATACACATAATAACGGACTGGGAAGTTTTATTTTTTCAATATACATTATGTAAACATGACAGTCATTTCAAAGATGTTGCTAATACACATGTGCATAATGGAGAAGTAAATACAAGCACATAAAAACCATATTTCACTAAAACTGTCAATTGTAGCCTTGTTGTAGAAAACTATGACTCTTCAAGAAAAAAGAAACTTTAGAAAGAACTTACAATCACCCAAAAACATCCCTTAAATTCTCAAAACATTCACTTAATGCTAAAACATGAGAATCAAATTTAACTCAGTTACATGGCTGCAAAAAGACCTAAGGAATCCAAAACTTAAATGGTGCTTTTACACTATTTTCTGGAACCCAGGAAAAGTATCTTGCTGCACATACCTCCATCTCCTGCTGTGCCACTTCACATGCTGCCCCCAGTCCCACTGCTAGAGGTGTGGGCACAGTCCCAGACCGCAGTCCTCTCTCCTGGCCTCCCCCACTCTGCAGGGGCTCTAGCCTGACACGTGGTCGACGGCGAACATAGAGAGCACCAACCCCTTGGAAGCAAGGAAAGCTGTTTTACCATAGGCCCAGAGTTCTGAAATTATGAACAGGGACTCCAAGCTTTGGTAACATTCCTTATTTCCACAGCAAAAACACATGTGGACACTTAACTGGGGAAAAATAAAGTGAACAAGTTCAGTGTTATTCTCTAGGAAATGGTGTTTGTCCCCAATAACCATGTTGAGGCTTGCAGAGCTTCAGCCATGGGAGCTCAGCTTCTTCCACTCTGCTTCAGTCACCCAAGGACTCAGTGCTTCTCTTCCTTCCCACAATTCCTGTACACAGCTGAAGTTCAGCCCCTTGCACTAAAGTTTTTATGGGCATTCACCAGTGTTCTCTTTACTGACTTCCAAATTCTTTCCCTCGATTACTAGACTAGCACCAGTCCCAGGAGTCCTCTCCCTTTCTTCTCATTAGGAAGACTCATTAGTGGCAACAATTTTCAGCGAGTGGATTAGATAAGCCAGTTTTGCTAGTCAGTCACTTTAGTGCTCTACTCTCCTCACCTTGAAACCAAATTTTCATGTCTTTGAGTGCCCTGGTACACTTAATAAGTGACTGTCACCACAGGAAGGACAGCTGCAACTTCCCGGCATAACAAATGGTGAAAATTTATGTCTATCACCTGTCCAAAATTACTAGTTGAAAACTTAGTCCTTGTCCAGAGATAATGTCTTCAGCTCTCAGCAGAACTCAGAAAAAAAAAAAAAAAAACCCTTGCTGAAAAATAAGAATTTTGTCTTTTGTTTCTGAATAGGATAACAAAAGTTATAATATTATATATATAATGTTATATATAATATAATGTTATAAATTAAAATGCTGTCTGTATAGCATACAGCAAACCTGATTTCTGGCTCTCTAACACCCACTGTCACAAACCAAATAGACCTTGACAATAATAATAGCTGGATTTTTAGTATTTGTCAGTCAACCAGAAAATGTATAGCTGGATATTAAACCCCATTCTGCAAAGAAAATGCACAAATGGAGTTGTTGGAATGGAGCCACTGGAAGTAGATAACAATCAAAAATCACCAATCAGGTACCTTTTGGTCTCCTTGTTTCAAATCACACTCTGGTCTAAACTTTGCTCTATAACCAAGTGATTTCATTTCAATAATTTCAGTATTAGTTCTGCTTCACACCAAGCAGATGACTCCTGAAAAACCCACTGCTGCTATGCTGCCACCATCATACAACACACTTTCTTCTTTCAGTGAAGCCACTTCAACCCATCTAGCATTGAAGATCTGCTTACTGCAGCTCTATGCTGGCAGCAGTACCTGAGCTACTCTGAAGTCTGTCCAACACCATTCAGAACAGCTTTCTACAGCTTAAGTAACTGACACTGTGACAAATGGATTTGACTTCACACCTTGTGTTGTTACCTTAAGGTAGGTATGGAAACAACAATTCCCTATAAAGCACTTCAGTGAGTACCTTTGGGCCCATAAATTTTATGGCCACTGATGCTCATTAAGTCAATTTTCATGTTGTTGACGTCCATAGGAATTTTACCAATCGCTTGTGCAGCATCCGTGTGGAAGAAAACCTTATGTGCACGGCAGATCTCACCTGTAATAAAAACACCAAACCAAAACCAGATTACCTTAACTAATTGCTATGATCCCAAAGATTCCAGCACTGGATCTAAAGCATGACTGAATCTAAACCAACAGCAAGTTATTGAGCTATCTGAGGTGACAAAGGCAGAAATGAGGGCTGTGATGTTTCTTTTATACTGAAGTGGCTAAAGGTGTGCAGGGGCTACTGTAGTTTGATGCCTTGGCACAGGTTTAGACAGGTAAGACTACAGTGAATTTCTCCAGCTGAGAAGTTAAAAAGTCTTCTACTGTTAAGAATGGAGATTATTTCCAAACCCACACCTAACAAGTTTAAGAACAAATGGTTACATGAAATATCAAAGTCTCCACACAGAAATGACTCCACAGTTGGAAAATATTGGTTTTTCTTGGTTCTTTTTCTTTTCAACGTCCAGTACAAGCCAGCCTTCCTTTCAAGTTTCTATTTGCCATGTATTTTTATGTCATTCCCTCTATTTTCCAAGTTTTCCAACACTCAGCTTCAAAAACATTCTCACAATTGTCACACACACACTTATTACTACCACATGAAGTCAGCTGAGCTGGTCACCAGGCTAAAATATATGAAGAAATAATGTATTGTTCATGGGCAGTAAATGTAACTATTATTTATTTGTGTCATCAAAAAAATCACAATACATCTTCCACAGGATCTGCACAGCTGCATCCGAGACCTCTCCTCTGCACAAGAGGTTCAACATGGTACTTCACAGGACAAGTAACCCCCTGTGGTCCAGCAAGGTCAGGCCACAGGCAATACCAGGCCACAGGCCACACAGTAACAGGGCCTCAGGTTCCCTCTGCAAGGCCTCAGGCCTGGCCTGTTGGACCTGTTCAAGGTGTTAGGAGAACATACCAGGGGAACTACAGCTGGCACCAGCTGTCTCTGGCATTTAAACATGGGACCATAGTAAGGACCTTGACAATATAAGCACAGGAGGAAAAAAAGAATCCTTGAGGCTATAAGCAACTCACTGATGGTCAAATGCTTGTCAACAAAGAAACAGAACCAACCTTGAAAAACTTTGGCAAAAATGCTGCTTTGAGCTTAATGGAGAAAGAAATAAATGCAGCAGCTAAGGAAGAAAACCAGATGCATGAGATGCCTGCCACAGCCTAAGAAAACAATATCCTATGGAGTATGTACTCCAGAGCAGTCCAAATATTGTCCAAAAACTCAAACATCTTATGAAAGGCTATCTTGAATATGAAGGTGTGCTGGTTGTGGCTGGGGTAGAGCTAACTTTCTCCACAATGGCTAGTACTGGTCTGTGTTTTGGATTTGTGCTGAACACAGGGGTAATAATAGATGTTTCTGATATTGCTGACCAGGGCTTGCACAGAGCCAAGGCCTGTTCTGCCCCTCATATGGCCATACTGGCAATGGGGCTGTGGGTATGTGAGAGGCTGGGAGGAGACACACCCAGGACAGGTGACCCAAACTTACCAAAGGGATATTTCAGACCGTGTGACATATGCCATACACTCTTAGTATAGAAAACTGGGAGGAAGAAGGTGGAAGTGGGAGACATTTGGAGTGATGGTGTTTGTCTTCCCAAGTCACCACTGCATGGGATGGGGCCCTGCTCTCCTGGAGGTGGATGAAGACCTGCCTGTCCATAGAAAGCAGTATGGAATTCTTTGTTTTTCTTTGCTTGTGTGCATGGTTTTTGCTTTCCATATTAAACTGTCTTTAACTCAACCCATGCGTTTTCTAGCTTTTACCATTCCAATTGTCTCCCTGATCTTTCTGGTAGGGGAGTGACTGAGTGGCTGCAAGGTGCTTGGTTGCCAGCTCGGGTGAGACCAGGTCAGAAAGGGTATCTGTATATGTTTTGCTACTGTCACAGTAAACTATCAACAAATCACCTGGGATCTAGGGATCTGGAGGATCATCAGGGAGGTACCTGCTCACCCTGCTTGCTCCAACAACCGTGGTTCTCCAGGGTCTCCCTTCATCTGCTCTGAGGTCCCTGTCACTCCACCTGCCAGCTCAGAGCCTGGCTCACCCTCTCCCTGCCTCCTGTTCCAGAAGCATAGCTCTTCAGTGGGCTTTTGGCCTACAAAGCAATTGTTTATGACTCTATACGATAATATTGGGGGAAGGATTGTCCAAGTGTGGTGCTCACTGTCCTCTCCCACTCCAAATCCTGCACATTTCTCCTCCTAAACACTACAAGTGCTCAATAAATCAATATAGTACATAAGCTCAATTTTGGCCAGTTATTCTGTACAATTTTTTAATCCATCGTACAGTCCAATGAATTGCAGCTGATCCATCCAGAGCAATGATTGCTGCAATGCTCACCATAAAGGTAGTGAATTTCATTCCCATTTCTCTTTTGAAATCAATTTTTATTTGGGACAGCAGTATTATTTATTTATAGTACATTTTTTATTTTAAAATATTTATGTTATTATTTTTTCCTTAGCTATATTACACCTAATCTTTTGCATCAGTTACATTTGGAGATGAAAACATAATCTAAAATGAAGCAGAAGCAACCTTAGCTGGCATCTAGAAGCCACAGTGTACTTACCAATGTCATGTATTGGCTGCTTTACTCCTATTTCATTATTTACAGTCATTACAGAGACCAAACTTGTATCGGGCTGGAATGCAGCCTCCAGCTCCTGGTGAAAGATTCAGAAGGACAAAAGTTGTGACTAACAGAGAAGCAGGATTCCTGTGCACATCTTCAATTTACCAGCAACTCAACCATCCGTCCCTCATTTGCAACAAACACTTAGGGTTCTGACAAACAGCCCTGGGGAGAACACTAACCCATGTGAACATTAAATGCCTGTAGGAAGAGGAGCGAATCAATTGTGTTTCTGCATGTCCTAACCCTTCAATGCACCTGGCACCACACTTGATTAAATAAAATCTCAACAGGCTTTGCTATATCCCATATATGTCTCTGAACTATTTTCTTTAATGAATTAACCCCCCACAGTACAGCTTAAGCCTCTTCCAGCCAATGTGAGGCTGGCTGTAAAGGAACTGCTCTTTATACAAAGTCACATCACATCTGCAGCAACATGCTCAGAAAACATCACTCATTACTGTACCCACAGGCTGATCCCTTGGTCACATCACAAACCACTGCTCTCCATGGCAGGTGAGGGACTGGGAATAAAACTGTTGCTGCCCTGTGCTACAGGACGTCAACGATGAACTAAAAACATACAACTTCTAAATTTTAGGGCTGCAGCCAGTACATACAGAAGGGCTGGCTCATGGACAGCCATAGGAAGTACTGTAATCAGTGAAACAGTGCCTCAAGTACTGGGCTCCTTATAGGGTACTCAACAGCTCCACCTGCACAGCAGCAGCTGAACGGTGGGACAGGAGGTGGATGTTCTGGTTGTGAAAAAGTGTAGGATGTTAGACAGAACAGAAAATCCTTCTCCAGATCTGACAGATTTAACTGTGATTCTCATACTACTTTATGATATTTATTATCCTTTTAGAGGAGACAAGGTTTTGAGCATGAATTTGAAGCAAAAGCCTCTTCTTTTTTTAGTTTCTTTCTGTCAGTAACAACTTACCTTCAGGTCTATGAGCCCATTTTTTTTAACAGGTAGATATGTGATGTGAAAACCTTCTGTTTCCAGGGAACGACAAGAATCCAACACACACTTGTGCTCTGTTTGCGTAGTAATGATATGCTTTTTTCTGGATTTATAGAACCTTGCAACACCCTGTCAGGCACAGTCCATGAAAAAGAAATTGGCCACGGAAGAAAGCAGGCATTACACAGTATGATTGGAAATAAGAAATTACTACTTAGATATAGTTCATTTGGATCTTTCCTGTTTGACCCAAGTCATGAATCTAAAAGGTACTGACAGATAATCCACACTACGTATCTCCATCAGCACCTGCTTTTCAAAGTATCTTTCAAAAACTCTGTGAAAATCTTTATTGCTGTTAAGCTGTAGAAGCCATTAACCAAAGCATTTTTTTGAAAACTTTTGCAATGGAGTCATAAACACTGAGAAGCCTGAACAACCACATACTACATACAAAACCTAGTCTTCATAAGAAAAAGGTTTCTAATTTGCATGTCCACTATATTTCACAATAAAGATTTTAATTACATAAGCAGAAGGAATGTATTTAGTGCATGCGAGATAAACATCAACTATTTTACACTGCCCTCAAAATCATGTCCCAGGCATCAAAACATTCGTCCATATATTTCCTCCACATATGTAACAGAGTATCACAAAAAGTAAATCCAGAAATGCAAATATGTTATACTCCAACATATTATTAACATTTAAATTGTTGAGAGATGCATACAGTTCTTAAATACAAAATTTTAACATAATAAATAAGAATCAGTATAAACTTTTTACCTTAATTGCCATATTATTGGACTCTGTTGCACCACTGGTAAATATAATTTCCCGTGAATCAGCTCCTATTAAATCTGCAACTTGCTGTTTAAAAAGAAATACAAATTTGACTTGTTAAGAAAACATACAATAAATTCACTACAGCAAAATATATGTGAAACATTTTCAAGAATACTCCCTTGAGCTTCAAAGGATTACAGCTGCTACCTAACAAAGTTATGCTAAAAATAGTCTAAATATCTGAATTATAAAATACACAAGGAATCCACAGTCATTAGAAGTGGTATTAAGCACTAACCTGTTATAACACAGATAAAAGCTTAAGTAGACAAAAACCCATTACATATTACTTAAAAAAAATGAAAAACATCCTTCCCTAAGATTAGAAGAATGATAAGATATGGAGTTAGTCCAAAGACTGCAGCAACGTGCTTGTGACTCCAGGAAACCAATAACACTTTTACTTAAAGTATTGGTTTATGCCACTTCAGTTGCTCTAATCTCACTGTTGGAGCAAGTGCCAGCTTCTGCACCTCGGACTGGAGAACCCTGGGAGTCCAGACAGATTGGGGAACAAGAGGCTGGAGAGCAGCAGCACAGAAATCTGAGACCTGGAAGTTTGGGCTGAGGGCAAGTGGAACAGGAGCCAGCAGTGCCCTGGCAGCCCCAAGGGTCAGCCTGTCCTAGGGGACATCAGGCCCAGCATTGCCAGTCGAGCAAGGGGGAGACTGTCCTGCTCTGCTCTGCTCTGCACTGGGGAGGCTGCACCTCAAGTCCTGGGGGCAGTTTGGGGCAAATCTATATAAGGATATGAAGTTATCAGAGAACATCCAGAGGAGGGCCATGAAATGGTTAAGGGCCTAGAGGAAAGTCTGTAAAACAAACAGCTGAGGTCACTTGGTTCCTTCAGTCTGAAGAAGAGGAAACTGAAGTCAGACCTCAGTGGGGGCTGCAACTTCCTCATGAGGGGCATCAGAGAGGCAGCTCTCTGCTCTCGGTGACCAATGACAAGGCTTGAGGAAACAGATAGAGCTGTGTTGAGGAAGTGTAGGTAGGATAGTAGGAAAAAAGTTTTTTACCCAGAGGGTGGTCAGGCACTGGAACAAGCTCCCCAAGGAAGTGGTTACAGCCTTAAGCCTGCCATAGTTCAAGGAGTGTTTGGAGAATGCTCTCAGGTGGTGGGATTGTTGGGGCGTCCTGTGCAGGGCCAGGGTTGGACTTCATGATGCTTGTGGTTCCCTTCCAACTTGAGGTATTCTATGAGTCTATCTTTTCCTACAATAAATTTACTAAAGTACAGTTAAGCAAAGAGGAAGCTGCTAAATCCAGCCCACAGAGAACAGGGATTTTTTTCTTCCTTTTTTGTTAGGTTCTATTGACCCCGATTTTCCTCAGCAGCAAGAAAACCAACGCAACCAACAACCAACAACTCACCCGCCTCGCTTTCTCCATGGCAGCCTCACTTTCCCAGCCATAGGCGTGGGTCCTGGAGTGGGGGTTGCCATAGTAGGCTGTCAGGTATGGGAGCATGCTGTCCAGGACTCTGGGATCCTGTGGAACACAAACCACCCAGCCTTAGAAAAGGAGAAGGGAAACTATATCTATTGTCTCTGGGCATAGCCCCTTGCCACAGTATCAGCAGCACTTCTGTGGCAGTGTCTTGCTTAAGCCTAGGCCTGACCTTAAAAACTTGAGGCTATTACATGTTACGTGTAACACAAGTAGTCAGCAGTTATGCTCTGTGCACATAACCCTGATCTACACCGAAGGTCAAAGAAGAACAAAATCATTTGAGAAAACAGAATCACAGACTAGTGTGGGTTGGAAAATACTTTAAAACTTATTTTGTTCCACGCCCCTGCCACGGGCAGGGACACACCATCCACTAGATCCGGTTGCTCCAAGCCCCATCCAACCTGGCCTTTCTTCTGAGCAGAAAAAAACCAAAGTCTTAAAATGTTAAGAAAAATGTCAGATCAGTATTTTGGCTGAATTCACTTCCTGCTTCTCTCAACTGTCTCCACTCCCGCAGGGGTCGGTGCGAGCCCCTTCGCGGCTCGGCCACACTCCGGCCCTGCGGCACTGGGACTGCCCATCCAGGGGGCTGCCCCGGCGTAGATACAGCCCTTCCGGGGGATGCCCGAACTGCCCTGTGGTGACAGGAACAGCCTGTGTCGCTACAGGTGGTGCCGAACGCCGCCTCTGTCCCCCACGGCCGCTCGAGACACACGCGACCGCTCGGGCAAGAGAACCGGGAGTGTGGGGGCCCCGCTCCGCTTCCCGAGCTCGGTACGGCCCTTACCAGCGGGGTGGTGGCCTGGACATCCATGTAAAGCGGCCGAGGAGCACCGCCGCCATCGATGGCTCGCCCTGAGGGGAGAAGAGGGGGAAAGCTGCTGCTGTCAGGGCCCGGCAGGAGCGGGGGAGCTGTTCCTTCCAAGACAGGGGCTCTGCCCGACCGCGGCCTTACCCGATCCCGATCCCGATCCCGATCCCGATTCCGATCCCGATCCCGGTCCCGGTCCCCCCGCTCGGAACCGCCGCGGGGCTCGTTCGCCCCTCAGGGCCGCCAAGCGCCGCCACAGCAGCATAGCGCGCGACGGACAGAGCAGGGCGTGCCCCCCTCTTCTTGTACGTCACGGCGCGCGCCGGAAGCGAGGCCCAGACAGGCGGAGGCGCGGTGCGGCCTAGCGAGGTACGGGCGGGGCGGGGACCCGGGAACGGGAACGGGAACGGGGCGGGGGCGGGGCGCTAGTGAGGTAAAGCGCGCGCTGACGACCCCGGTTCGCCTCTGAGAGCTCTTGCGCCTAGCAACGGCGATGGCCGCCGTTCCCGCGGAGTCCACGGCCTCCACGGCCTGAGTATCTGCACTAAGTCCTCGGCCTGGCCTCGATCTCCCTAAGGGTGGGTTCACTGCCCGCTCCTCTGCCTCCGAGACCAAGCGGCAGCCGGTCGGGCCAGCAGTGGAGGCTCGGTCAGGTGCCGCGTGTGCTGCTCGCTAGGGACTGAGAACACACAGGGTGAGGCCCCGAAACAGCCTCGGTAGCCACAGCGGCGCTCGCAGGAGCTTATTGAGTAGAAACGAGGCCGTCGATCCCTCCTTGTCCTTCCTATCTGACAGGCAAGGAAACAAGCCTGGGAGCAAGCACAACCTCCTGCGCTGCACGCGCGAGAAGCTCTGAGCTGCACAGCCTGGCCTGCCAGCCCAGTTTGGTTATAGAAGTCTGTTAGACAAAGCAGTAAATCGATGTGGGTATTGTCCTTTCTTTTTTAGATGCCTGTGACCGTGGGCCCATATGGGCAGTCGCAGCCCAGCTGTTTCGACAGGATAAAGATGGGTTTCATGATGGGTTTTGCAGTGGGCATGGCTGCAGGAGCGCTGTTCGGCACATTTTCCTGCCTCAGGTATGCCAAGGAAATGGCTTCCACAGACAAGTGGTGACAGGGAGATAGCCAGAGAGAAATGGTCATGCTGTGGGGTTGGGAAGGGGTTGGGTCTGGTCCTGTGCCAGTCCCATGAGTGACTCTGTCTGTGACTCCCAGCTACTGCAGTAAACCCCTGGCCTAAAAAATGTGAGTGTGGTGCCGGCAGGGCATCACCTCTGGGTGCCCTGTATGCCGGGAGGTCACAGTTTCACGGACCTTTTCTTGCCTCTTGTAAGGAAGGTTCATTGGGAAGCTGAGGCTGTGGAGGATCACCTTCAGGAGGAACCAGATGAATTGTCTATGCAGATACATGTGCAGCCCTCTCCTGGCCCTAAGGCTTCCTGAGGTGCTCTGTAAGCTCTCAGTGTCTGCATCATGGTCCCTTTGTATGTCCCATGCCCTGCACAGAGGCAGTTACCAAACTGACCCTGAGTCTGAATGGCAGGGGTGTGGGTACACCCATGGCTCGCATTGGCACAGTCCCACTGTGCAATGGAGAGTGACAATATTCCACCTTCCCCTGGGACTCAGCGCGCTGACATGAAAACAAGCTGTGTTTCTTGCTCTGTGTTTGCTCTGGTACTGTTGACTGGCTTTGCACATTTATCTATGACAAAGAATCACTGAAGTCAGCTCTTTCATACTTTGCAGAACTCTATTTGATGGTTTTTACCTGTGATTAAACATGGGAGATGATTTGGTAGTGAGGTGAAGGAGGAAGAGGTACAAATCTTAATCCAATGGGAGTTTGAAGTTTTCTAATCTCTCTCAGTTCCCAGAGGGTAAGCAGCATTATGCTGGCAGAAGATACATATTAAGGGCATTTAGAAGGATCAGTGAGAGTGGTTCTGTTGTACTTGAATGACACAGCTACAGTACTTCTGCTGTTCTATTTTTGAGAGAAAATCTTATGTTTTAAGAATGAAGTGCATGAAATTCCTTAGACTCTTAAGTCACTGCACTGTTTAAAAGCCAAATATTACAAAAGCTTCTTGAGACAGAACGATTCTTTTTGTTTTAGTCTGACGTCAGATAAGTGAAAAAAGGAGAACAGAAAGACCTTTTGAAGTTTCTAGGCCTTTCAGGTTAAAGGCCTTTCCCATATTAAAAACACAGAGTCAGTAGTAAATAAAAATTTAATTTTAAGTTGGTGATATTAAAAAGACTGTCACTGCAGCTAGAGAGGATGGCAGTACGACAGCTCAGACAACTCTTTGTACTCTGGCAAGTGAAATACTTGGCCAGCTTTTTTTTTCCCATATTAAGGGTATTTGGGACACCAGGATGCAAAGCTGTGCCTGCTAAGGGTGTGGCAGGAAGGTTCCACTGCAGGAAAAATACACATGGGCCATGTGAGGTGAGGACCACCCAAGAGCCCCTGCAGTAGCACAGGGCACTGCACCCAGTCTGTGGGGAGGCAGCTGTACAATGGCACAGATTTAGACTGAAGTGTTCAATTTGCAACCATGAGCTGATTGTCTCAGACGTTTTCTGCTGCACGTGTGATCTGTCAGGTTTCAGCTTTTATATAATCCCTATGATTTTCTTTATCTCAGGATTGGCATGAGAGGACGAGAGCTGATGGGTGGAGTTGGCAAAACGATGATGCAAAGCGGTGGGACGTTTGGGACATTCATGGCCATTGGTATGGGAATACGCTGCTAATCTGGAGTTTGGGATTTATCCCAGAGTGCCCCCACCCAGCCATTCCTTCGCTGTACAATAATAAAATCTTTAGATACCTGGAAGTGAGAGCTCTCAATGAAACAGCACAGTCTTACCCTCTGTGCTCTGCTGATTGTAAGCACACCTTTTACAAAATTTCTACTTTCTTCCCATCTCTTTCTCCCAAAACAATGAGAATTAATAATCATTTTTACTACATTGAAGTTCCTGTTTTAAAGATAGAAGTACACCACACAAGTTTCTCCCTTTGGCACTTGGGCAGCTCCCATGGCTGATGTGGATGTGGAGCTACTTTGTCCCTTCTTGTGGTCCTCGGTCTAGGAAAGTTAGATGGTGGGTACTTCAGATTAATTATCAAATTTCTGTCCTCTTGCAAAAAAAGGTGGGCTGAAGCTGGTCACATTTCTGAATTCAGAGTGTCATGGGGCAAATGCCCTCAACACTGTAAGGGACCTGAGGATCCAGGCAGCTCCCGTAAGAGCTGTGCTTCCAGAAACAAAGCCTTTTCTTTCATTCTGGTCTAGCACGCCTACAAGGTGGTGAGGACTTCCCTAGGAGAGCATGGGAATACCTCCTCATCCTCCCCAGCCCCAAAACCACTGCCTACAGCTGACGTAGGAAAGGTGTTGGGTGTTGTAGTCTTCCACTACTTGCCTTTTGAAATAAGGCCTCTTTCTGCTCCTCCTTTAGTTCTGTGTAAGGAAGACATGTGAGCTATAGCACTACCTCAACTGGCACCTGTACAGCCTGGACCTGGTACAAATGCCTTTTCCCCAGTTTTTTAGGCAGAAACACAAATTCATGACTCAAAGCCTGTTGTCAGATAAAGCCCACCTAGAGAGCCAGCTTTACTTCTTCAGCTGTGTTACTATTCCCAGGATCCTGCTGTATTCCCAGCCCCTCTCCACTTTTACCTTTTGCTTGCTCCAAGTTCTTTGATTAAGGACAGGTCCTTGCCCCACTGCAGCTCAAGGACAGCTACAGCCCTAGAGGCTGCAGAGCAGATCCTCTCCCCACAATACTACAGAACACCCGCAGCACTGCTGCCTGCCCCACCTTCACCCACTGCCAAGGAATGTTCTGTTCTCCCTACTCTCTCCACTTTGGTCTTCTCTTAGTGGTTAAAAAGGCCAGGGAGATGGGACAGGGAGAGAAAAAGCAAAGCACAGGGGCAGGTTCCCTCTAGAAACCAGACTGAAAGCAAATGTAACTGACTCCTCCAACCCCAGGACTCTCAACCATTTGTGAAGGATGGGAGTGGAGGTGGGCAGGAGGGCTTTGTCTCTGGCCTGAAATTTAAGCATGCCTGAGGAGGATAGGAGTTGTGCCCAGATCCTCAGCAACCATGGCCACACTGCACAGAGGGCTGGGAACAGCTTCTGCACGTACTTCTGAGCACGACAGCCCACGGCGTACCTGCATACTGTGTAGTCATATCCCAGACACTGGGTACTGCACAGCATCTACCACTCACCTCCAGGCCTAAGCACACACTGCCTAAATCACACTGGGAGAGCAGAGAAATAAAACTTCATGAAGGCCTTTTTAAGAGAATTTTATTTGAGTGGTTCTTACAAAGATTGTTGCAATATGAAAGTCTTTGATAGAAATATCAAGCTGTCTTGTCAAACACACTGAAGTAACCCAAAAATATATTTCAGAGCTCACAGAGCTTAAAAAGAGCAAAGATTATATGCAACCAGAACAAAACACTTTTCTGTATTTCCTACCCATTTTCAGACTTGGCTGAATTCCTCCAGCTCTGCCCCACTGCACGTGTGGAAACTCATCTGGAAATGCAGAGATGTTTTGTTTGGAAACTTAGACACACCTCACAGTATTTACAAAGAAACTTTTACAGATACAATAATCAAAAGTTACCATCAAGAAATAAAACCCTTCAATCCTCCTATTCTTACCAATTATTCGGCACAAAGCAAGCTGAGTAGCTGTCTGCAGTCAGCATTCAGTAGCTTTTTGGATTTTCCATTTATACAAAAACACTAAATATGTCCCTTCATCCAGTCTCTCTCTGATACTACCTTTGAGCAGATCACCCACATTTAGTGAAATGTAAAATGTCTTTGCTGCATTAAAAGAAAGGCTCATGAAACATTAAAAATGTCATTATGTCCCATCTGCCTTTTACAGAGTACTTGTTATCTATGAGCTACTTCTCAGTTCCTACAGATCACCTTTGTCAATGTACAAGAATTACAAGGCAGAACAAGAAGTCAACAGCTTTGTATACAGTGGAAATGCTAGTTAGGGAGAATGAACACACTGCATTTCTGCTTACTTCATTTTATTTTTAAAGATAGCAGGAAGTGTACACAAAATGACATTAAATCCTTTCCTTTAGTTTTATCTAAATAAAAGATAACTCAATCTTCCTCCAAAAAATACCTATGTACAAAACTGACTAAATTAATCTTCATCGTCGAACAGGAACCAGTAGTTGGGTTGCAGTCATAGAGTCTGGGAAAAGGCTGTGGTATGTTGGAAGAGGTACATACGCTGCTGTAATCATTTTACCTAATCACAAGAGGAAAAAAAGTAAACATCAGTGTTTGTCATTTCTGTAATGGATGACTAAATGTAGGCATGTACTTGGAACACTCACCTGCAAACCACCTCCCATGCAAAGCATTGACAGCCGCGATGGCAGCAGCAATGGAGGGACATTTCACATACACATTGCCCTGCAAGACAGAATAGCGCAGCGCATGAGAAGTCAGAGACACTTCCCCAATGCTGTTCCTCAGCCACCCCTGGACCTGGCTGGGACAAAGCCACACCCGCTCCACCAGGCACCCACTGGGATTAATCCATAACACAGAATGAGCACCAGAGAAGGGGACGGTGGTACTGGCAGGCACTACTCCACTGTGGCAGTTACTGCAACCTTCAATTTTGAACTTCACCAGAGACACTCGGAGTTTGCCATCTACAGATCAAGCACTGTGCCTCCCTAATCCAGAGAACCACAACAGTCACACCCAACAACTCCAAGACATAGAGATGCCCACAGTAATGTGTGGCATTTTTCTGGCTGCCGGCTTAAAAACAGACCATCAGTAATACCCAAGGAAGATCGACTCTAGCTGAAACAGATTTTTCAGGAAAATAGTACATTAAAAAATAGATTCCAGCCTTTCCTTAGCAGCTTTAGTCAGCCGGTATTAACTCTTCCCACTGCAATCTAACTCATTCCTTTCTCATGGGGCAAACCTGAGCTTAGACGCTGGTGTTTAAGGCACTAAGGAATCAATTAACATACAGAGCTCTGCTCTCAGCCTCCCCCTGCAAAGGCACCTAAGCTGCTTAAATGCCAAGATGAGGTGCAGGAACACAAAGCTGTGGTTTTCCTTAACACCCAGCAGAACAGACAGATGTGGTACATAAGCCATACACTCAGCTAGCACTGCAACTGTTTAATCCACAACAAATCACATGCTCATAAGCCAACCCCTGACAGCCCTCAGCACAGAAGTCTGGGACAGAGCCCTGAAGGTGCCTAGAATCTAAGCCTGGAAAACAGAATCGTACAATGGAAACTCTATCAGAGGGTATTTTATAGCTGTGTCATTGCTGTGCTACTATGACAAAACAGATTTCATTTTTTATAAAACATTAACTCATTACTTAGTATGTTGCAGTTTCTTTTTTTAAATCCACCTGCTAATGTGAAACAATTTTGCAGCTCCATGGGCTTAGAACCTATGTGGTTCCTGTGGGCTGGTGTAGTTTTGGGGGTGGTGGTTTTTTGGGGGGTTGTGCAGTGATTTTTTTTTTTTTTTTGTGTTTAGTTGTTGAGCGGGTTTTTTGGAGGTGGGAAGTGTTATGGGTTGTTGGTTATTTTGGATTTTTTTTTTCTGTCAAAGAACACTTCATTTTCTCTAAATAACAAACACGTTATGGGGAAGGTTTCTGCCTCTCATCAGTCCAGTAGTCCAAGACCACAGGTGTGATCTTGAAGATTACAAGATGCTAGGTAAGGCAGCACATTGTTTTATGTGCTAGACTGCAGCTCCTATCTAACCTCTGTGTAACCCACAAGAAAGGGTTTTAGGTGATATTGGGGGAGCTGCACTAGACAGCAATGGTTGAGTGCTAAGTGGATCATCAGGGCAGAACAATCCCACCAAAGCACACCAGCAGGAACATGGGTTTCAGCCTTATACCTTAGCATGGAACACAAGATGACACTTTTAGGGTCAGAGATAGAAATTAACCCAACTGTGAAACCATCTGAAAACTGAACTTCTGTTTGGGCTGTGAATTCTTTTAAAAAAGGGTTCAAGAGAGTTAATCTATTTACAGACCTTCCAGAGTTTATACAGTCTAAGAGCTGAAATACAGAGAAGAGGTAACCAGTCTGGGGTTTATGTAAACAAGGTGAAGTCAGAAGAAAAATATATTCACCAGTTTAAGATGCAGGTATTAATCTGGAATTCAGTCAGCAGCAGCGGTCTTTCTCTTCCCTGTTCTAACTCCAGGCCCTCAGACTGCCCATTGCAAGACTTTAATGTCATGAGTGACCACAACTGTTTCTAAGCATGGGATGAGGCACACATTTACCTTATGCTGTAATTCTGCTGGAGCAAGAGCTCTTTTTTACTGAAGCCTGTGCTCTAGAAAGAAGCAACTGAAGTCCCTGACTTGGGGGAAGGGCACAGCTTAAGGGAAATGCCAAATGCCTGAACTAGTCACTGCTCTTCTACAGCAACTTCAGCTGGGTAAACCTTCAAGAGCAGCACCAGAAAGCTCTCATCCAAGTTACACACAATGATTCACAATAGAAGAGAACCATCTACATTCTGCACAAACTAAGAAATTTAGGTACAGTTTAGGAAAAGCCCCATATTTGTAACGCTCCCCATGGACAAAAGAAAGCAACAGAACTCCTAACATCAGCTCAGTGTGTCACCCCTGGAAGCAGGCATACCTGAGCTGAGTTTTTGTCAACATAAATGTGGATAACTCCTCCATGTTTGTTACATTCCTCAATCACATCATCTTTAATTTCTGTGTCCCAGCCAGCTTCTTCTTCACTGTACAGGGGAAGGAAAAACAGGATAGATATCATTCACAGAAAATCCACTCCCAAAACCCATTAAACACATGCCTGCAACATTCATCAAGTCATTGACAAACAGACAACGATAAATTACTTACGTTTGAGGATTAAACATGTTGGAAAGCTGGAAGCACTGTGTTGCAAGTGGTTGTACAGAAGCAGCTGCAGCCAGAACTGTTGTAATGGAAAAAAAAATTAGCATATCGAAGAACCCACTATGCATGGCTCTAATTTATTCAGCATAATAGAAGCAGCTCTGACTAAACAGAAATTGAAGGCAGGAAAGCAAAACTCAAAACCAGACACTACTGATGATAGATATATTTAAAATGATCAATACAAAAGCCAGCACACTATGAATCACAGTTGAACCTGAAAAGTGAAAATATAATCGTGTACACAGATTTTGGCAGATTTTCCATTTGAACATTAAAAGGCATGCATCTTCATTTGCATTTAAAATGCCTGCCTGAGTTGTATGTCAGCACCTTTAATGTTTTGCTCCTCACAGAAGCCCAGCAGCAGCTCAGGACAGCACCACCCCAGCTGACTGGACAGCAGAAGACAGACAACCTTGGGGAATTCTTAAAACCTGTTTTAAGCATGGCGAATTATGCTTCAGAAGTGTACCTGCACTTTCATCCCTTGAAAACACAGATTGAAGGAAACATTTGACACCTGAAATTGATCTTTCCCTATAAGAGTGAAATTATTACTTGTCATTTATTGCTGCTTATCATGCCAGTACATTGCATTAAACACTGTCCCACAGGCTGCCCTTCCATAGGCTTCAGGCTTCTGTCAATGGAGCTGCAATAACAGCTGCCTTCCCCATATACTACAGAGATTAAGGGTTGTGCAGTCAGATAATGACAAACTCAGAGACAGTAAACCCAAACTTCTGATTCTCAAATATCCCCTCCTCTAACGCAGGGAGAACACTTCTACCCAACCACAAATACCAGTCCACACATTTTCTTGGACTAGTACATGGCTGGGGAATGCTACCAACACCGGAGAAAATGCTACCAAGAATTTTCAGTCAAAAAAAATCACAGGATGATTCCCCACTTTCCCACAGACAACTAAGAGAACACAATTTCTCAGATATGGGCAAACCCAATACCAGAAGAATGTCCCCTACAGACACCTGAAATAAAATCTACTAATTACAAGTCATAATAAATGCTAGTTTACCTTCATTCTGCTGGGACAGTCTCGTTTGTAAATCTAAAGAAAAATACAGAGAAGTTAATTAGAATGCTTGCTAGCATCACTGTATCATCACCTGCCAGCCAGGTTGTTCAGCTTGTTTTACTGTGGTTAAGAGCTTATTTCAGTATCACTGTTCCTCTGTAGTTGTGAGTAGTTTCACTAATTTCAGCTTCTGTACTAGAATGTTCTGTACTTGACAGATTCTGTGACAACAAAGCATTTTAAAGAGCAACAATACCTTAAAAGGACAGACATGACCATGTACCTTTAATTTAATGTATCACTCCCAACTTGCTTTTGCTGTGATTGAGGTCTTTAAAAGAAATGTTTTACTCCATGGGAAAATAATTACAGCAATTCTGACATGCATTAGAGGTGTGTGTCAACACCGACATCTTTACTACCAGAAAGCAGTTAAGCACACAGCTATCCAAACCTGACATTCTTAAAGCAGTTATCAAATTTCATTTCAAGTAGAATAAGGCAATATTTTGTCTGCTTTGCTTTCATATAGATGACATAATGATACTAGTAACTTTAATATTTTTCAAATTCAAAACATTTTCCAGCATTCAGAACATGTGATTTGCCTAGAAAACATGATTTACTTGTTTAACAACATACACTTGTCCCAGTCCAAAGTGATGGGAACAAACAAATGCAGACTTTCTTGCCATTTCCAAGTAACATGACATCTTAGAACTAACAGAAAACTTCAGAATTCAAGAACTGTCAGTATAAGCCCCTTCAATCATGGTTCCATTTAAGAGACACTAGGTGTGAGCAAACAATCGCCTTAATTCACTCATTTAGGGAGTAGCAAAGCGATGAGCACCAAGTAAGCTTCCAAGCTTACCTGGAAATACCTGACGGGACCAGGTATCAACATACTTTTCCTCTTTCTAAAAAAACCTCCTCCACAACACTGAAGAGCCAACAGAAATAAATGTTTTTCTCTAGATTTTCCTCATGTGCCTTTCCAAGCGTTTTGCAAGGAACACGTACCAGGAACCATACTGAAAAGCAAGGGCTGGAAGGAGTAAGCTCTGAAGGTTGAGTTGTAAAAAGAGCTGGTGATATTTGGCATGTTTTCCATCCAGATCTGAACCCACAGAGTCCTCACCTCCATAGAATGCGAAATATCACAACAGCAAAGGCTGTCTTAGCCTGTATTCTCTGAAGAAACGGCATGGTCTTGGCCAAATCTGTAACTAATTACCTAGTTAATTAATATTCAGACTCTTGTGAAAACAAAGGCCTTTTAAAGAAAACAGCAAATATCCGAACTCTCAATTTAGAGGAGGACAGACACTTTTCCTGCTGCAATTCCAATCCATCATGTCCGGCAGAACTCATCTATGTGGGTCAGACCAGGGCTCTACAGCCAAATGCTCCAGAATCCCTGCACCTAATATGGTAAACCTGCACATATCATCAATGCAAATTCTGTCCACGGCCAAGTAAGATCTGTTCTAAACACAGCAAAGTCAGCCACCACTATCTTGTGCAACAGTTTCACAGGTTAATTATTAACCACGTTTGAAACATAACCTGCTGCTCACCAGATCTTTTATCAACGAACTGGATTCTTTTGTTGCTCATGACTGAAGAACAGTCCTGTCCTCTCACTTCCAAAATCACTCAGAATTAAGAAATTAATTGTCACTCTATACAGTCAATTCATGTTTCCCTACACATAGTTTTAAATAGCATGCAGAAACTAAAATTAATACATCTGACCAATTCAGATCAAAGTAACTTTTTCAGTATATTCTTATGTAACACCTGTAAGAGCAGCAAGTTTAGCACAATGGGAGAACATGTTTAGTGTACACAGAAAGCACAAATACAAACAAATCTATCAAAGTATTTTGTGTCTCAAAATAAAAAGTTTATTTTGAAATCCAGATGGCTTTAAATAGGCCAAAGTCTGCCAAACATTGCCTAGCATCTTGAGTAATTTCTTAGAACAGAGACCAAATAGAGGTCCAGGATGATAATAGCTATCTCTTCCTCTTTTGCAGCACACCATATCAATTTTTCCATAAACAGATAGCTCCTTCCACAAGTAAGGAATGCTTTGTCTCACAAAACATTAGAAGAATGTTCTATAGGCTGATTATTTTTAATTTTCTATGTTGAGAAAGAGAACAGGGAGTAGACAGTGACAACTGTTCAGCTTCAAATTCTTTTTCCTGCTGGATGGCCAAATTCTCAGGTGTCCCTTAGAACTAATTCTTTACCTTCCCTACTTTAGTTTTATTGACTCCCTCTTGAACATGGATTATCAGAAGTGTTTCTGTATATATTACACCTCAGATGCTCAGGCCTACTTGCCTCTAGGAACACAGCTACTAATATTTTAACGATGTATCATAGTGCCAGGTCATGTTCTGGCACTTATAAACTGAAGCATTTAGGTATTTTTCTCCTCCCTGGCCATTCTTCCATTGCTAAGCTCCCAGACTATGCGAGTGGAATTTTATTTAACCCTGAAGAGGTGAACAATATACAACACCCCAAGAATTTCTTGTTGACAGCACCTATGCAGTTATTCACCTCATTTCTACTGCTGACCATTTTCATTCATGTAAATATTACTCAAGACAAGCCCAACACCTGAACTTTGGCTTTAACAACAGCCTCCAACTTTCCCAGCTTTCATCCGTAAAAAAATCCTTCTCTGAGCCAGCTTCCTGACACACCTTGTACTTCCTGTATTACTCACTTCTCCAGTTTAATAACTTCCAAATGACAGGAGTCTAAAGATCAGCAAGAAGCTGCTCCTCCTCTGCCAAGGAAAGGCAATTTAATCAATGACTGTTGGTCGTTAAACACAGTTTCTGACAGTATGCTATACTTTCATAATATTCTCCAGTTTACCCTTCTTTAGTATGACCTCTGAAGGAGCAAAGTCTACTCAGTAACAGGACCAGAATCTGGCCAGACCACATTCTTCTTCCTTCAAGTGGACTTTAAGTATAATTTAGTCACATGTTTCAGCTATATACCGTATCATGGACTTAAAATGTTTATCAACAATACCAGAGATGAGAGATGAGACCTCATGTTTCATACATGTATTCCATCCCTCATTTCATGGGACTTTTACTCCTCTGAACTGTTTACATTAGCCTCTTACTTTTAGCTTTCTTTCTTGGGAATAATTTTCCTTTTTTATTTTTGAACTACATATTCCTAGCTTACCTTCCTCAAATTCTAAACTTTATGACCAGTATCCCCACTACAAGTTGAGGCAACTAAATACATAGAAACATCTTCGGAGTAGTTTTTCATTCACCTGAGTCCCACTTCCTTTTTTCTTCAAGAGTTGGTAAACCTTCATCTATTGCTTTCATGACTTTAACAATGTCTAACTCAATCTGACTGTTGGCAGACAATTATCTTTTTATCTGTTTCCCAAACTAAAAATCTTGTTTTATTATCAGTCATTTTTCCTATTGTTCATAGGCTGCGTGGTCATTCCTTATTTCTTTTGAGGTAGCTGATCACCCAGGTTCAGTGTGGAGCCCACACTAACAAAACTTTTTCTTCTTTCTGTAGAATACAGATCCAACACAGCAATAGCAATGTAAAACATCCTGCCTGTTCAAACACCCAAGTTGCTCAGACCAGATGACTTAATTGCCTTGTTTCTTCAACCATCAGTTAGACCTGTTTGTGTATCCTTCCATTTAAATGTGAGCAACTCATGATCCCTCAAGTCAATGGTCATTTCTATTCTCATCCATAACATCTTCATTACTTACCAAATTGAGTTTAAAATAGCATCCCCTCTTCATGAGTCAGTGAGTGTTTGATGAAGAAATTTGTCGGATATCACATCCAGGAATATCTGGGACCCACCATTATTACTAGCAATTCTTCTCCAATCTGTATCGGGGAAGTTAAAGTCTCCCACAATGACATAATTCCTGGTAGTAATTTTCTCTAACAAGAGTAAAGAGATCTTTAATCCATAACCAAATCTCACTTTGGGGATAGCTCATGACTCTACGGCAGCAAAAAGCTTTATCTTTTTCCCAAGTTACTTAAGTTGCACATGTCTGCGTTATTCCTTTTGTACAATGCAAGTGGAAAGAACAATGCTACCCCTACCACCTTTATTTCCACAGTTGCTAACATGCATCTTCTTCTAACACCTGTATTCAGCCTCATTTATTTCTCCGCAGAGAATAATATTGTTTTCTCGTTCTGATTGCATACTACCTGAACCATTCAGCTGTGTCAGACATTTTTGGCCATGTTCTTGATTTAGTGAGCTTGGATTTCTTTTGACCTTGTTTGTTTCAAATGCGGGGGAGGAAAAGGACTGGTGTTTTTTTAAAACACTATTCTCATTTCTCATTGCTGACATGTTTCTACATGATACTGCCACACCACTTTATACCCTGTGTAAATTATGATCTAACTTCAGCGGTGGTTAGCTTTCCTTCTCTTTCTGGACTAGACACACTTTTTCCTCACTACTGTATGTTTTTCATCCTTCTCAAACAGGCAACCGACATTTTTCTGTCACTGGCCAGTTCCTTTTCCTTCCAAGGGCACATCTCTAAAACAACTCTATTATATTCTTTTAGCAACTGTCTACATCTTCATATGTATGCTCTTCTTCAGACTGCACCTGACCTTCAGTAACATGATTCAGACCTATCTTATTAAGCCTGAATCATTTCCATCACAAGCTCTGCTGGAAGGCAAACAAGAACGCTACCTTTTCTTTGCTACTTTCCTGACACGTCCCACACATTCCAGCATCTGGTTATTTGTGACATTCAGGTCCTTTCTACTGTTATGACAGTTTCATATCCCTTGTTCATAGTATTAATCAAAAGTAGCAAAAAAAACCAAACATTCAGGGAGGTTACTCCCTGCTCTAGTTCTGAAGACCCCATGAATAGTTTGTTTTTCAGACCAGCTATGAACTAAGCAGCAGCAATCACATCCCTCAGCCTCATTCCAGCACATCCACCTGCAGAACACACATACAACTATAGCCAAACCCAAGCAAAAGACGCATTCCCTGACATAAAATGTCTTTCCTCAAGAGGACATAATACACTGTAAAAACGCTGCTGCCATCTTTATGCTGTGTCCCCCATAAAGTCCTAATAACCTTCCTGCCCTTTGTACAGCTCTGATTTTTCTACAGGGGTCAATCCCCTTCCAATTCTGAGCCTGCCATTTTCAACAGTCAACATGTATACTGCAGTAGAACATACAAATCCCCACTAGCACAGAGAATAGTGAAGAGAGGAAGGTTTGGGGTGAAAACCAGCAAATTTGGAAAAATATGCGAAGTGAATCACACCCATCCAAATTGTGATATACCGTCATTAGTTACTTGCTTATGATTTAGCAGTGTTTTACAGTTTGTAAAACATGCTGCAATACCTCATTTTAAAAGACCAAAATGCATTTTCATTTTAAAAGACAAAAAAACATAGTTAAGTACCTCCTGTCTCAAATTTATAAAGTAATTAAAAAATATATATATAGGTCATCATTTCTTACCTGTCACAGCTCCAAAGGCCAAAGATCCACTCATCTGCAGAGCCTGCTGTGCAGCTGGAGGAATCTGCAAACCAGTACCTGGAACAGAACACAGAGAGACCTTGGAGCAAGCCCTTTCATTCATTTAGAGATGCAGTAACAGAAACATCATAAATATTCCTCTTGTCAAAAGATAAAAAATACCATGCATTTAAACATTTCATTCATTTATCCAAACAGTTCTGTGGAGTGTTTTAATTCAAATTCTGCAAACTTCTTCACACACTTGTTATCCAACATTGCACACACCTTCTGCAAGTCTTGCCATCAACTGAAGCCGACCAGTTGTTCCCAAATCAATTCCAGTTCGTTCCAACTCATCGCTGTCCAAAAATGAGCTAGCACTGGAAGCATCAGTACGCTCAGTTACATGTCCAACTTTCATTGGTCTCCCAGCCAGCTCAAATCCATTGAGTTGTTCCAGGGCCTTTTTGGCACACTCAGAGTCTGAGAACTGTGGTTTGGAAAAACACAAATTCAGTAATGCTTGCCTACAGGATTCAGCAACGCTTCTACTATATGCAATATCCACAATTACGCAAACAGGAGAAACTCTTTAAGATAATAGCAACAAGCTAATGTACATGTGCTCAGAATTTTTCATTTAAACCAAACACACACATATTTTGGTATTTACTTTCTCATGGTTAGGTACTATATATTCAAATATATTGTTGAAGTTATAGCATCTAGATACTGCAATCAACAGAAGTCATGACTGTGGCTGTCTTTCAAGAGTGACACTCAATTCCTCTGCAACCTTACAACTGCCATGGTATTTACAGTTTATTCCTAACAGATATTCTGCTTTATGCTGCAAAACATCAAAATAAACACACAAGCATTTTATCAGTGTTAAAAACGTCAAGTATGAACTATATAGTAAGTTTGGTTTCATTTGTGTCCATGTGCCAGAGGTCCCAGACGAGACTTTTTTCCTCATGACAAATTGCCAGGTCAGTTAAGAAACTCAAGTTCACAAAACTGTGTACCTGAGGGTAAAGAGGAAAGATGTTTTTAACTGAAAGTTTCAGCCCCTATTATTTCCCCTATAAAGCTCAAGTTAAATTATTTTCACCTATAAAAACACCAGTCTTTACTAGTGTCTTTGCCTGCAGAAGATAGCATTTGCTTTTGCAGGCACTGACTACAGAGGAAACTATTCCCATCTCATATTCACTGCTCATTCTCAATACCCAGACAACCATCAGAAACAAAGAAAAAAAGCCAGTGCTGCATCCTGCAATATGACACTTCTGAAATGAGATATATAGTTATCGAGTAGCAATTTAGTACCTCCCATGCATATGTAACAAATTTAGATTGTGCTTAGTTTATTATGTTTAGATTGCTACTATATAACCACATAGATATACACAGAAGGTTCACATATAGAGATACATACTCCTACATGGGAAGGTTACACTCAGAAATCATCTTAGAAACCTGGCAATTCTAGTCATACCGTAATGAATCCATATCCTTTTGAGCGTCCAGTTTCACTGTCCATCATGAGCTGAATACTTTCAATCTGAAGATAAGAATAAAGCTATTTATTAACAGACATTTTGGAACAAACTCCAAGATACCAGAACACAACATGAAAACAGCCCTGTCAAATACACGTACATGAATGTGAAACTATTACTTTTTTTAAATTAGTTTCTCATTCCTTCCTCATTCCAAAATTAGTATACAAAAGTAGTATAGCTAAATAGGTACTTGGATAGTAAGAGAAGCAGGTAAACATAAGGGTTTTGAGCTCATCTATGGGTAGAGGCTTGATGCAGAATTCTAGCAGCATAAGCACGCAGACATGATCAGATCGTAACTGAAATGCACTCATCATGGCACTTCACATGCTGAGAAACTCTGTTTTACAAACTAAGAAAAGCAGTATGCCTGACAAGTGCTTTGTGAGTATGAAGATGAATTATTTCCAGAAGCTGCTAGGGCTCTACAACTAAGCTAGGTTTCTCAAATAAACTACTCTAACACAACATGCCAAATTAAAGCTTACCCTGCCAAATGGCTCGAAGATTCCTCGAAGCATATCTTCAGTTATATTGAAGTGTAATGATCCCACATAGAGCCTCATAGGACCAGCACTGCCCTTCTGCAGATTATTTGCCATTGCTGCTGCTCTGTTTTTCTCTGCCTAAGGAGAAAATAAAATATCACCTTCGATAAGAAATCAATAAAAAACCCCTAACATAAGAAGTAAATACCTATCAGACCTAAACTAGAAGATTCACCAAACATACAGAAGCTGTTGCATGATCTGCAGTCTATCAGACTTGAACTTAAGAGCTACAAAACCCAAGACCATGACCAAGTACAGAGACAAGAGACTCCAAAAGCCTTCAAACTGAACAACTTCATGCAAAATTCTGACTTCTACCCAGGAAATTATCTAGAAGGCATACACAATATAGCCTTCATTTCTGTAACATTATTAACAATTTCTTTACTGTTATTTGCTTAAGATCTGCATTTTCCTAATACCTTTACACAACTTTCAATCACTTTAATTTGCCTGTTATCTACTGGCAACAAAAATCCATTATCACTAGCTTAAATAATCATCCTTGTTACGGTTTTCCAAACAGTCAGTAGTAGCCAAATTCTCAAACATTAAGTTTCTCATCAAAATACAAGAAGCATAACTCTGCATGAACAAAAATGAGGTTTACAATTCCTTACCTGTGATGCCTGTACTATGATAGGTACACCCAGGACTCTCTGTCCAGTCAGTCCTATTGCCAGGGGCACTGAACTAACATCAACAAATTCAACATAAGCGATCCCCTTGGAACGTCTGGAATTTCTATCTGAAATCATTCGCACATCACGAACCTGAAAGGCAACAACAGAGATGGAAATACTTTTAGAGAAAGATGAAAAAACCTAATGCAGCCTATTTCTCAGACACATATTAATACTGAGAATTATTTGCCAAGCCAACAGCTTTAATTCTACAGCAGCATACACCTTTTGTAACAAATGTATCCCAGAGGCAAGCTAGCACTAAAGCTGTTTTTTTTTTTGTACGTGACAGAAGGCAATTGCAGCACTCTAATGCTTTACGCCAGAACCTTACAGCTGATAGAACAAATGAAGTTTTTCCAACTAAGAAGTTACGTGAATTTTCAAATGACACTATAACTGACAGATCTCCTCTCTCAAATTTATAAAGTAATTTTAAAAATATTATTAAAATTTTTTTTAAAAAATAAGAAAATATGAAAAATGAAGTTGAGTCAGAATTGCATCAACATGTTTTGCCTCACATCACATGAACAAGCAACTACTGAGAAACTACATTTTCGTGTTCAAAGCTTTTAATAATTTGTTCATCATTAATCCCTCTTTCCACAGGCACAGGAAGCTCCAGAAAGCCACATGCTCACAATTCGGAAAAAATACTGAACCTGTACTAAGTTGTACTAGGACAGCTTGTGGCAAAATTCAAAATTATTTTAACTTCCCTATCAATTACCTTCCCTACTGTAGAGAAAAATTCTTCCAGGTCTCTTGGTCGAATTCTTGCAGCCAACTGCATGCAGAACACTGTTCGAGCATCCCTCTCTTCAGGGGTAAGATTATCAATAGGTTCTCTGGAAAGAGTAAAGTTCAGCTAAAAAATCAACTAAATTAAGATAATTCATCTTTGGACCACACACAATACACTAAACAATCAGTACTTCACAGTCTGTTAGGAAAAAAAAAAGCCTGCTGTGTTAAAAAAAAGGCAGAGTAAAGAATTGAAGGGAATACCAAAAATTAACATGATAAGTTGTAACATAACTGAATATCCTATTTCACCTGTGAGCAGCAAATATAACTGGAAAATTCTACTTTATCTGCAAAAGCATAAACTGAGGTACCATTTTGCTACTGTCCAGAACTGGTACCAGATACCACTAAGGAGCTTATATGTCCTTTTCATCAAAAAGATGGAAGGACAAGAATACAAAAGCAAACAGGGCAAACTAGCACAGACCAGCTATCCAAATTCTCAGAGAAGTAGTGTGGGCTAGGCTTTACCAACTCACATCTTGAATTTACCCAGTCACTTTGGAGTCACTACAGCCACCGCATAAAACAAGACTGACATCCATGTAAATAGAACCTGTAGTCCTCATTCCATAGTTTCAGCTTGTTAGCCCATAAAGAAGTATGAACAGTATTGAATTACTGGAATGAATAGTAGAATTACTTTGATCCTTGACACATTAAGAACTACAATAATTTTATTTATTAGCTGAAATTAGATGCACTACTGTTAACATATTGAAGCTTCAAATCTAAACAAATCTGACTTGTACTCAACTACAAAGTACATAAGAAGTAGCATGGTGTATCCTGGATTGAGCGCCCATCCATGTAGTATGTATTTTTTTCAAATTAACCACATAGATATTAAACACTTAGAAAACACAATAAAAATGTAAACATCATTATCTTAGTAAGAGTTTGCCAGTCATTGAAAAACAAAATGAGATTGGTGAAATTTGACTGCATTAACGTAAGAGAATAATCTCATTAGCAGCTATCTAAATCCTATTCCCTTAAATGAGAAGGCTAAGAATGGATAAGCAGCTCCTGGACTGCAGAGGCATATAGCCTCTCAACAAATAACACTAATAAATACTGGACAGCAAAAAGAAGCATTTGTACTTTCCCATTTCATACTCTAGATTATTAAGTATGATTCAGCAGAAAAGCTATTTTAAATCATAATTAATGGGGAGAAGATTGAAAATACAGAAACACAAAAAAACAAACTAATTGAGACTTGTTTTGCAAACTGACATTATTTACAACCTTTTTATGACATGGGGAGAAAGCAACATACTACCAATGCTCTTTTTTCACTAGTTTTCTGAATGAATTCCAGCATTACTTATGAGTGTAAGCTGGAGAGCAAGTAGTCATACATTATTTCACCATCACTTTTCCAAGTCCAACTAGACAAAAACAAACAAACCCAAACATAGGTAAAAAGTCATACCTAACAGGGCTTTTGTCTTTTCTGAAAGGACTTTTGCTTCTAGAGCGACGTCTGCTAAAAAGAAAGATCAACAAGATTAGAAGAAAGCTTTCCAATATACCAATCCTGGTTCTAAACAAAACCTATTAATGATGCAATGAAAAACAGAGAAAAGTCAAAAACCTTAATTTGATGCTGTGAGGCAGACCAATCTTCCCTCTGATGGCACTGTTGAATTTTGGACCAGAACTATGGCAGAAGAAAAGACAAAACACCTGAGTATTTGTATTCAAAATTTCCTGTCTGTACTCACATTACACTCCAAGTGCTCACCCACCCTTGCCTCTGAACTTGTCAGCATTTCCATTAGCAGCACTCACAGCATGCATCAGATAATCAGTTGGTTACCAATACATGCAGCACTTCAGACCATAAGGCACAGAATATGATCCCCTCCCACTTTCACCTACACCACAAAATCCCAGAATATGCAGGACTCTTCATGAGACAGTCAGTCATGGCACATTTGTATATGCAAACTATTCTGAGCTACAGTTACTGTTATAACCGTTTTCACCTGTCTTTTTGTCCACATGCAAGTTCTACATCAGATGACTGCAAAGCATAACATTCATGGCCTGGAACTCAGCTTCAGAGCTGTATGCCAAGTGATACTGGCAGGATTACTTGCTCGAGTGTAACATTTTAAAATCAAAAAGTGCCAAGAAATTTAAGGTGCAAGAGCAAACCAAAGTGGCTCCATGCAGACACCTGCAAGGGACACGTTCACTAATGGTGCCTTGGCTCTAACCACTGAAGTGCTGCAAATATATAAATGAAGCTTCCTTAAAATTCCTAATGGCCATCAAACCACAGAAGCAGTGAACCCAGCAGTCAGCTGTATACAGACATGTAACCACAAAAGGAATCCAATCTCTTGACTGAATCTAATTTAATTCCCCAAGCATCACAGAGTCTCTTAGAACAAACTGTAATCTGCCCTTTGCTTCCATATTAAGGACAGTCCTCTTGCTAGTTAATGGGGCACCCAGGAAGAGACTGTGACATGAGCAGTAAGATTCATCCTATTGTGCTCTCCCTGAATTTCATCTCCTGGTAGAGAGTTGTTCAAAAGGCAAAGAACAACACCTGTTAACATTCTTCCTGTATCTCCACCAAGCGCAGAGGCACTCTGCACAGACTGAACACTGTGCACTGGGCTTTGGCTTTCCATCTGTACACAATTGATTCTTTCTGCTGTTGCTACAAATTGATGTAAAACACCCTGAAAGACACGGCGGGCTGAAGACATTAAGTAGTCTTTCACTAAATCCATTTGGCCACGCAATTTGTCTGAAAAACGTCTTCTTGCTCCTCAGTGGAGCAGTAATGCTTATAGTTAAACTCAGCATCCACCACAAGGAGGAGGATGCCCATTTTTTTAAGCATGTCATGACACAGGTGGAAGTAGTGGGCCAAGATCCAAAACCGTGCTGGCCAGGTTAAAGCAAGGGAAATATGGCCCTGTACAACACTGGAAAAAAAATAAAGAAAAAAGACCATTTAGAAACTACTTATGAAGAGAACTACTTACTGAGAGAAAATAAGACATAAAACACAGACACATGTTGAGGTGAGATCACAATTGATCAAAACCAGACTTTTTTTTTTCCTAGGAGAAATTACTCCCTTTCTTGCTCAAGTCCAGACAAATTATTGCCGGGAGTGTCCATTCAGGTTCTTCAGTACCTATGGAACAACCGCCAAAAGCTGCATCTGGAAATACTGGTACTAATTTCAGAGGCTACCTTCTTATCAGACATGGGACTAGCCTGCATTTTCACATCAAATGTAAAACATGGTGCTCTCTATTTTAATTCAAATGCAGACAGACAAACCAATTACAGTGACTCCAGAACACTAACATGCAGACCCAACTTAACAACAATAAATAGTTAAGACCATGAGTTTTCAAGGAAAAGGTGAAAGAAATAGTTTAAGTATTCATCTAAATCTAATGAATAACAAAACCAAAACACAAACAATTGAAAAGTAACAGTTCTCAAATGCATGCACAAAGTGGGGGTGGGGATGGAGGGAGGAGGAAAAAGGGGCAGCAAAAACCCACAATCCACCACAACTCCAAAAATCTCCACTTTCTTTCTTGACTAGTACTGTAGTACTAGTACCCCAGACCACTGGAACAGACCAAGCACCTTTTTTGCCTAGGGCAAGGTGAGAGCCCAAATTACCTTCTCAAAATCAACAGTATAGCCTTTTCAACAGTATTCTCCCTGTGTTTTTCTAAGGAGACTTGCTTGTAAAGCTGTAGATCTCAAGTAAAGTTTCTGCATTGCTTCTACTGTCTCTACAATTGTTGCCCAGTTCCTGCTAACCTGTACGGAAACACCATGTCACAAGCCATTAATCTTTATGTCTAGGAGTCACCTTCTTTGTAAGCCAAAGTCCTGTGTGCAGCCAAAGCACACACTTCCACAAAACCTAAGAGATGCCACAGGGCCCAATAATGGCCAGGTCAGAAGACAGCCAGCAAATTATCAGCTTTTACCTACTCATTCATATTCAAGATTCCAACAAAAAAATGTCGGACAAGGCAAACTCTGGCTAACAAAGTCCAGGAGAATCACAAGGAACTTTCAGTCATCACCGTAATAAACCTGTTTTCCTAATAGCTTTGTCTAAATGTGTAATTTCAAAATAGAAACAGTTTGGTCTAAGTGACTGCTACTTTATGTTAGCAGCAGCAGATGTCTAAGCAAGAATACTCAGTCAAGCTCTTTCTCCTAAGAGACCTTAAGATACAGCTATGTAACACTTAAGGGACAACATACGTGAAAATAACATGAGAAAAAGAACCCTGTGAACACTTAGTAATGCAAGACAGTCACCTAATTTTAACCTAATTTAAAATTAAAGCATTTAACCACATTTCAAGCCTAAAGTGAGAAACTCAAAGTTTCCAGGTTCCCTGTAGCACTCTCCTCTCCTTTTCCTTCACAATTGTCTATACTAAACTTTTTTCCTCACTACTTCTGAGATGCCTCCTAACTGTTCCCAGCAGTAAAACCATCTTGGTTTACAAAATCAGCTTGAAAATGAGCCTTTATAAAGCTCATGAGGAAGATCACAAGGAAGAGTAAAAAATAAGATAAATTAGAAGCCATTAAGCAATTTGGTCTGGATACTGCAGTTAGCCACAACCCTGTCAGCAATAACTCCAACCCAAAACTACCAGAACAGCCCCACAAGGAGAGATTCCAGAAACAAATACTCCAGCCAGAAAGAGTACTCTGGCGGTCACTTTTGAAACACTGAACTTATGCCACTGATACAGAGACAACTTCTTCATATCAAAGCTCAGTATTGGTAGATCCAAAGGTGGCTGGTGATGCAGGAGGCTTAATCACCAAAGTTTTCATCTCTCTGAAATTCAGCATCTGTTACACAGATTTAAAGGTGAGTCCCTGCATTTTAAGAGCCCTGAACAGGAACTCTTCACAATCCCTTCTCTTTCACACATTTAGAGCCAAAACTAGAACTCTGGAATCACATTAGCATGTTTATCATTTTAACAGGACTGTTCATCCTCTACAACTGAATGACAGCAACTGCTTGCTGACTGCCATCAGTCAACACCAAACCTTCTGGGACACATGTGCTTGCCCTCCACCAGTTTTCCACAAAACCATCTAAACACACTAGAATTCTACTTGGTTAAGGGAAAGCAATGATTTGGCAACTGAAGCAGTGAACAAGCTATCAAATGAATAGTACAACTATGTACCCTCAGAGCATACTACATTATCCCTGCTTCTTGTTCCCTGTATCTCAACACCAGAGCAATTGCCCAGAACAGCTACAAGAGAGTGTCAGGATAGCAAAAAAAGACCCTTTGCAACTACTTACCTTTCTGGCATATCTCAGAGCATTAAAACAGGCACGGGTTATTGTAGAAACATCAATCTACTTGCAGAAATTATTTTGGAAGACCAGAACACTGGAACTCCCAAATTTCTCCAGGTAAAAAACCTTCTCACCCAGTGACAACAAGAAAAACAAAGAATAAAACCCTACAACACAGCTGGAAGAATGCAGCAATTCCCAAGACCTCCCAAGCTCTACAAGATGAAACAAAGGACATCCTCTCCACACAACACTGCACTGGAGGGAAGGATGCCAGCAGGCTCCATATACAGAAGGCTGAAGTTTTTGATCAAGGTCCTCTGTACCTTGAGCCACAACAGTGGCACTGGCATAACCCAACCATCCACTGTCATCTTACACGTGCAATAGAGTTGTAGGAAAACTACTCTGCACTGCTGAAATCTTTACAGCTGAAGTCCAGAGCAGTGTACAGAGGCTCTGATACTCAAGACAAAGGAAAAGCAGGGCTGATACATTATGATCCCCACATACACAGGACTGATGATGCACAGGATGCCATTGCACCTTAGAGGACCCAGGAACTGCAGCAGGTTTTCATGACGAAAATGCCAACATCCAGATGACTTAGCACAGAGTGAGACCTCGGGAAGTTTTTGTTTGTAGTCCAAGAGTACAAAAAGCCCGAAGAAAAACATTCATGTTCATAAAACTGCACAAGCCTACAATTTATCAGAAGGTAAACACTGTCTGCTCAAACATCTTGAAGAGATTTCTCTATCATGGATGGCATTATATGTCATGATTAAAAAAATACATCCTTTTCAAATGCCTTCTTTTAAAATGATCTTTCATTCCAACATTTGACAACAATTGAGATGAGACCTGGACAACAACAGAGACAAACAGCAGCCTCAGGTAATCAATGACAGTCAAGCATACAGCCCAGTTCTCACTGAGTTTCTGCAGAAAGAGGCAATGGGAAGCACAGGGGAGAGCCACAGTACAAACCATCAGAAACAATACTGATGAAAAAACATCTTTTGAGAATTGATTTACAAATGCCTGGAACCATCTACTGCTGAAGTTCTATCAAGCTAAATATCTGAGAGGAATTGTCAGCCTCTAAACAAGTCTGAGAAAAAAGCAGGGCAAATTTGCAACACACGGGCATTACTAAGACAAGATGTTCCCAGTTTGGATGCATAAACATGGAATATGTTTGTGTGAATATCCATTTATGCAGTTAATGTTCAAGAACAGCAAGACAGTAAAAATCTTCAGTAATATAAAAAAAAAAAAGGGTACGAGCCTGGAACCAAATTAACAGACTACTATTAATTTTTTGGCAGTTAAGTCATCAAGTTCATATACTTTAAATAGTTAGGACATGGAGAGAATTTGGTCGTTATACTGATTTTGTGATAAACTTAGTTTTCCACTCAGCTGTACACATTCTTTCATTTGGTTTCCCATCTCTGTCTTGGCTAAGAATGAAAACTAGAAGAGGACTATTACTATCCTCATTTTCACTCTGTATTTACTGACATTCTTCAAACTTCACCTCTCACTTTCTTTTCAATTATAATTACTGACCAATTTAGAAAGCAGAGAGTGAAACTTCAACCTTCCACATTGTAACAATGAAGCAGCACACATGCAACTCTGTACAAATAACCTACTAGGGACTTCTATAGCGGCCTCTGAATCTGCGATCTCTGCTCCTAGACCGGCTGCGTCTGCGTTCTTTGCTTCTGCTCCGTTTCCTTTCCCGGCTTCTGCTCTTTTTCCGTTCCCGATCTCGGCTCCGTTTGCGTTCCTTACTTCTGCTCCTCTTTCTGTCATGGCTTCGACTTCGACTCTTGCTCTTTTTTCTCCTGACAAAGAAAAGTGCAACTTCAGATACACACACAGTTCAGTGTTATTTACCCCGCATTCCCTCTGATGTTACAGACACTGATGGGAAAAGTTTGTACCTGATGGTATTTGTACTTTATATTCTAAATGAGTGGCTAAGCATGTCAGCAATCTCCTTTCACGAGCCACATGAAGTCTGCAACAGCACATTTTTCTTTTAAATTTTTTAATTGCTAGAGAATGCTTTCAGAGGAGTAAAAGGACTAAAAACCCATTTCCTATGTAAGACCTAGTACACAGCAGTTGCAGTACTTCATCTTGTGTTCAAACATACTTCATGATTTTAATAACAAATCATATAGCAAAGTAAAACAAAATGCAACAAAAACGGAAAGAAAGAGGCAACTCTGGGGTTGTTTCCTCTTAATACTCCCTGCCAATTGTCTTTTACATGCTGCTTAAGAGTTTTGCTTCCTACTTGCTACTCCCACTCACATTATTTAGAACACAGGTAAAAGCATGTAATCTGTATGATTTCAAAAGGTAACAGCAGCATACATGCTGACTTCAGTGCATTTCTGTAATACACAGCTAACTTTTTACTGTTTTGTCAACTATCAACTTTGCAATTATTCTCTTTACATCAATAACCTCTTCACCAATGATGCTTATAAGGTAAGGAATTTATTTTACAGACTACACACCTTTTGGGTATCACATCCAGGTGTTCACACCCTGGAATTACGCTTGCTGAGCAAGGTGGGCTTGTACTCTTGTTTTTTAAAAAACTTGTACTAAAAATTTAGACATCTTGAAAGGGCAGGGACACAGAGAATAGAGCAAGACGATTTAACACCCTAAACCTTTTCAAGAAATCACTGGTGTCTTTAACAGCTTTCCACTGCTCCAAACCACAATTCTACAACAAATAATTTTTAAAAGGCAAAATCCACTGCATAGGTAAATTAACAAAAGTAATTTAAATATGCTGAACTACTAAGTCTGTATTTTTATCTGATGCTAGGTGAATGTTTCTGCAATTTTGATTACATCAGTTGCAAAGGGTATTAACTACATTTGTAAACAAAATAAAATTTCCAAATTGCTGCAACTGCAAATTCCAAGCTTTTCCAAATTATTTCCTTAAACACCACTAACATGGATTCACAAGTCCACAAAAACCAGCAGCCTCTACCCAAATGCAGAGAACTAAGAAAATACTTACTTCTTGCTGCGTTCTTCATGGCCATTGGCACTGCTCAATTTGTTCTCATCCTAAGCAGGGTTGATAGAAGAACATCGTGAGGACGAAGTGGAAATATTTCAAGTGGTCAAAGGGTAATGGGAATAGGAATAAGAAAATAAAAAACAAAAATTTTAATACTAAATTACTTGTTTACAGTTTAATGTGGAAAGCTTTAGAAAATTTAGGTAGGCATGTTTAACCACTTTGCTGCTTAAATTTAAGTCATACAATTACAAAATACAAGACTTACATCATTTAAAAGTGTGTATTAAATTGTAGATACTTCCATACATGGTTTAGAGAGCAAGTTATCCTGTAGAATTCAGCACTCAAGTGACTAAATGTTATTTCTATAAAATTTAAGAGGAAGTCTGAGGTGTTTGCGAGCCCCTCTGATTAGTACCAAGGCTATATCTCTGCCTAAGCCCCGTGGCTACACTAGCAGCCAGCCACTATCGATTTCCTGTGACCGATGCCATTCCCGAGATCTTCACTCATTTTCGTTGAAGGGTTGTAAGAGCTTGATGTCACCTCTGTCACACATCTCGCCCTGAAGCAAACAGGGATTCACACTGCTTTAGTAACGTCGACTCCCAAGAAAGCCATCAATAATCCACCAGTGCAGCCTAAACATCCCCTATTTCCATACCTGTTTACATGGAAAATATCCATGTTAAGCCAGGACACAAGAATTTTAACACAACAGTTCACAAATTTCTCTTCAAGATGTAAACCTAACTGCTAAATATTACATTAACTAAATATACCACTTAAAACTTACAAATGCTCATCCAAAAATTCATGACATGGTCGTAATAAACACTGCAGAACAGACTGAAAACAGCTGCTATATAACTTATATACTGGCTTTACAGTTTAATCACATTGGTTACATCAAAAGTACAATTCCTAGGCGATTTAAACTTATATACATTTCTTCCAAAATCAGTAGCTAAAGCATGCAGTCTGTTAACACTTCACCACCATCTGGTGGAAAACAAAAAAAGACAGTATTCATTTGCTGCTGGTTTAAGTGAAGGACATCACTAAGCTAACTGATAAAAAATTTTACAGAAAAATTGACATTTCCTAATTAAACAACTAGGACAGAAGAACACAAGAGCTTCTTTTAGAATGATACCACAGACTGTGATACTGTCTTTTACTTGCTAAGAACATTCTATTCAGGGATCCAAGAATATCTATAAATTCATTCACTCAGCAATTGATTTTCATCTGCCCTGTTGGAAAGATTAACCGCCAGCAGCCTTCTGCATTAAAAGCGAGTCCCACTCTTCTCGCACTGAGCAGATTGTTCAAATATTTACTTGCCATGGGACTGGCGAAAAGGTTATTCTTGGAGCCCCGCTGTTTTCCCAAACCACTGCATTCACCTTGTTGCTATACCAAACTAGGCTTCACAATTTTAGAGGAAAGGTTTTAGGATTTTGGTTTCTGGGGTTTGTTTGGTTTTGGTTTTGGTTTTGTTTAGTTGGTTTTTGGGTGGATTTCTTTTGTTTTGTTTTGATTGTGTTTGGTGGCTGTTTTTTTGGTTTTTTTTTTTTTTTTTAACCTAGGGGACCACGGTACAGCGATACGTCACTCAATTACTACCTTATGATTGACAGTTCACACTGGAATCAAAGGTGAATTCATGGGAGTAGAGGTGAGATATCGTTAGGCAAGTCTACAAAGAGAGATAGATGGGCATTTATTCATCACGCTGAAGTGAAACTACTGCACAATATAATTACATTAACAGTATATATTAACTTGAAAGTTACATGTAATGTATGTCCAATAAGATAAATCATGAGGGCTCCAGGGATGTTAGTTTACAGTTCAGCAGTAGTTTCATGAATAATGCTAAATTAAGGTAAACAGGACCTCACTGGCATATTTTTTCTCACCTTCTTGTAAGGAGCTTCAAGCATTGCTTCAATATCAATATCATCAGCCATTTTTCAGGACACCTGAAAGAAGAAGCAAATTTCACCTGAGTTGGAAAACACCCTTGTGCTTTATATTCCAAAAGCTTTTGTTTCAGAGGTCATCACTGCATTGGCTCGAATTCACTAAACATTTACAAATTCAGTAGGTATTTCCAACAAAAACTGGAATGAAGTTTTGCCCAATGAGATAGTAACAATGCATGCAAAATAATTACAGCTGCAAACAACAAAATTTGACTGAACACTATTAGCCAGAGGAAATCCAGAGGCACTCCATTAATTTCTTTCAAAACAAAGAGCACAGCATATTTATGACACAAACACAGCTCTGGTGGCCATCTTGAGAAGTGCTAGAGCTTCAGCAAAGGACAATGAACAATCAGGCAAACCTCTTCACAGCTCCTAGCCTCTTCCACCATCATTTACCAATCTCAGCATGGGGACACCATG